TTTCTGATTCTGGATGTTGTTCTTTCTAGAACTGGTGCATTCTTTTCAGATATCCTCTTCTTGTTGGACTTGATTTGTAATAGCAGGTCGTTATTTCTTAGTTTTCAGTCTTTGTATATTTGTGATGGGTAAACAACTTTTCTTCCAGTAGTCCTGCAGCTGCTGGCCCTGGTTGCTCAGCCGAAGTCCTGAGTCCTGTAGTCCACTTGACACCAGATGTCCAGGAACTAGAACACGTAGCACAGTCCTTGTCGACCTGGGGGATGACCAATCTGGTATAGGTTTCTGTAAATTACATCTCACCATATTGTTTATGGGAGAGACACTCTTTGTCTGGCTCCTCTGATGAGACCTGTCTAGTATGCTTGAACCTCTAGCATAGCTCCTCAAAGCATGCAAGCCACACAGCTGTGTCAAGGTAGTGCCTCACTGAGGGTTGTTATTGTTGTTATTATTTCCCATCTTTTTTTTTAATTTGGTCAACTCAAAGTGATGAGCATATCTAATACTTCTGCCTCCTATTTTTCCCACAATAACAATCCTGTGCAGTGGATTGGACTGAAAGAGAGCGACTTTCAGACCTAAAGGAGGCCTAGAACTCACAGTCTCCTGGATTCTGGGCCAACACCATAACCACTACACCAAAGTGGGTCTCTTGAATCAAACAAGTAGTACACGAGAAGCTTCCCAGAAGATAGAATGAAATGAAGCAGAGGAGATGGAGGAATATGATACAAAGGCCTAGGACTCTCAAAAAGCTCTTATACTTTTGAGGTTCAAAATAGATTTCAGGGCCTCTATTAGTAGTGATTGAAAAGCACCTGTCAGAAGCCTCAGGGACTGGCTGTACAAAGGGAAAGATTCTTATCTCTGCTTTGCAAACAAAGCAATGGATGGTGGTGATCAGAGACTTCCTAATAAGAAGGACTGAAGCAGCAGTCTGTTGGCCAGATAGCCTAACAAGAGAAATATGCTGTCTTCTTGGGGGAATATATTTGGAATTTGACTGAAAGATTCCCAAGACTTTTTAAGGCTGCTGATAAATATCCCATTTTACCTACCCATATGGAAACAAATGACATAGCCAGGCATAGTCTTGAAGACACTGCAAGAGACTATGTAGTGCTTGACAGGAAGGTGGAAGAATGAGGGACCCAATTGGTGTTTTTTCATTTCTTGTCAAAGGGCATGGCCCAGGAAGAGAGACAAGAATACTGAAGTACTGGCTACACAGATACTCCTGACAAGAAATAGGTTGCAGTTCATAAGAACTGAGAAGAATGTGTTTCAAACTTGCCTTCTAATCTTGACCCAGAGGACCTTAAACTGAATCCTGTGGGTAAGGGAGAAGAGATCCCAGAAAACAATGTAATGCCAAGTACCGAGAACAAAACTGGGATGAGTGTGTATGAAATGGAGGCACTCAATAATGAATACATAGATACAGGAAGGAATAGGTAGGTCAATGTACATAACTGAAGGATTTCAGTCTCTGTATAATGCACAGAAGATGGGGAGCAAACAGAAAATACTACAAGTCTTAATGCAGGAATGAGAATATGATTTATTAACATTACTGAAACTTGGTGGGATGAAGGGAATAGAATAATTAAAAAGAATAGTCTAGACAAAAGAAGTGCTATTATATGTGGAGGAAATGCACACATGTATAGAGATCCAGGAATCTAAGCATTCAAAAGCATTTGAGTAAGCATTTAAGGAAGGTTGTTTTTTTTAAATTTTGTCTTGAATTTTTTATACAAGTTAAAATGAACAGAAGTGAAAGTGAATTATGTTTTCCCCACTAAATTGGATTTCAGCTGTAGGAGTGTCAAATAGTATTTCAAATGTTGTGTTTTGCACACATTTGAACCAGGCTTCACAAATTTGGTGTGCTCCTGGAGGTAACCCAGCAGATCACGTATATCCAGTTTCATGAAATTCATCGTTTGTATTTTCCAAGTAATAAAATATTCAGAAAATGAATGCTGGAATGCCAACATTCTGTTTCAGTATAATGTGCAAGCCAAAGGAAGCAGAAATGAGTGGGTCATCTCTTCCTACTTATTTAACTAGCTGTTATAAAAAGCCTATAAATAATACTTGAGGCTTCTCAAAACAAGAGTCTCACATTCCCTGGGGCCTGATTGGTACAAGTTCAACTGTTAGCATAGAGAATGAGGAACTGGTGAATAAATCATCTGTATGGTTTCCAAATAAATTGCAAAGCTGACTTTCCATTTGTATTAATGTACTTCTCATGTTTTCAGGATTTTGTTCCTTTGTACCAAGATTTTGAGAACTTCTATACAAGGAATCTTTACATGCGCATTAGAGATAGTTGGAACAGACCAATCTGCAGTGTACCAGGAGCAAAAGTGGATATGTTGGAACGAGTTTCTCATGATTATAATTGGACATTCAAGTGAGTAAAAAGCTTTTAAAAGTTCATACATAGCTAATCTTCAGAGGACTTCAGTAAATATTGAACAGTTAGTTTTAAAGGTAGGCTGTATCCTCAGTACAGCTTTAGAACTTGTTGCTGAATTTGGTGATATAATTTACCCTTTCTTATGCTTCCTAGGACTTCCTAAACATGAGGATGGTAGGTCCAGTCATACCTTGTAGGGCAGCATATTCCACAATATGGGGACTCTCACTGACTGAGAAGGCCTACCTCCTTTCTAAGCTTCCTTCACATGGGGGAGGGATCTTTAGCGGTGCTTTTTCAGTGTTTGGACAAGTGGAGAGAATCATGCTTGGTAAAGTGGTCCCTGATTTATCTGGTGCCATGTTTTATGAGTGGTAACCAACATTTTGAATTGGCTTGGAAACCTGACTTTAAGATGTGTAGTTCTTCATTGATTAGTTTTCTTGGCAAGCAGTCTGAACACTGCATTTTGCACTAGATGCAGCTTTCTGAGTTACCTTCAAAACGGTCCTGTGTAGAGCACATTGCAGTAGCCCAGTCACAAAATAATCAGGATGTGAGTTACTGTTAATGGAGTTTCCTTACTCTGGGAATGAGAATGGCTGTTTGTAAAACATTATAGAACAAGAATAGATGACCATTCTGTTCATGTCTCCTAAATGGCAAGCCAGCACCCCTTTAAATCAAAAGAAGAGGATCAAAATTACTTAGGCAGACCTGCCTTAACAAACTTGCTAATAAAAGGTGGGCTAACGTACACACATATCCAGTTTCCAAGATCCCATAACTTTTCCTTAAAATAAGCCTGGCTAACGGGAATTTGAGAATCTAGTTTTCTTGGTTACTGTTAAGAAGATTGGCAGTTACTGTCACAAGAGTATCCTGGTCCAGGTAGGACCACAAATGGCACATTAGCCCAAGTTGAGCAAAGTTCTCCCACCATTACCGCAACTTCCACCTCCTGCTCCAGCAGAAGCCATAGGTCCAGAAAGATCCCCAAATCACAGACCAGCTACTTTAAGAGGATCACACCCCTGTCAAGAGCAACTTCTAATACATTATTACCAGATAATCCTGATGTTTACAGACATACATCAACTCCATCTTTTTTAGGGTTTAGTCTGCACTAGTTTCCCCCATCTAATCCCTCACAGCCTCCAGTAACTGATTCAAAAAATTTACAGCATTTTCAGTTCAGCCTGGTTATCAGCATACAGCTGAGTATAATCAGCATGTTGATGACATCTCACCCTATATTGACAGATAACTTCTGCTATTGGATTCATATAGATGTTAAATAACATGGAGGCAAGGACCAAGCTCTGTGTCACCTCAGACTGGAGTAGCCAAGGGTTTGATCATTCATCCCCCCCAATCACTAACTGGAACTGCCTACTCAGGTAGGAGTAGAACCATTGCAAAACGGTGCATCTCACTCCAAACCCTTGCAAGCTATCCAGAAGGATACCATGTTTGAAAGTATTGAATGTCACCAAGGGATCTTGTGGTCCAACAAAGGTGCACTTGCCCCATCCTAGTGAAGGTCATCTAGAGCAGCCAGTGCCACAAATCCATCTTTCTTGCCCTATCCATCCTTCCTTAAAAGGAAGTCTGAGTCACTCTGAACAAAACTGCAGGGTAAGAATGCATGTAATAACCACAGAAGGAATTCATGCTTCATTGCTTTTAGTGGCATTCAATATGCTCAAGCATGAGCTTAAATCAGTGCTCAGTCGTGTCCACTTTTGATTTTACAGTACATCACTTCAGGCATCTTTTCAGTCACTTCATCCCCCACAGCTCCTTAGTAAGCCAAGTAGCTGCCTGGAATTGGCCTCTGGACAGATATTTTGCTAGAGCAGTCTCATCCAGTGGCCTGACAGTCTCTGTATTCCAGAGATCAACTAGGCATGAGCTGGAACTCCTTGCCAAATTGTCAGGCAAATCCCTCCAGAGTAATCTGGAACCTGAGAAAATCCATCACCTTTCTAATACAGTCATGTGAAAAAGAAAGTATACCCTCTTTGAGTTCTATGGTTTTACATATCAGGACATAATAAAAATCATCTGGTCCTT